CAGGTCGCGGCGGTGGTGTTGCGATTATATCACACACCAACTTGGTTCTTAGTCCCAAAACCAACAATGCTTTTCACTCGTTTGAAAACTTAACACTTTCAATCACCTGTCCTGGGTGGAGAAAACAAAAAGCAGTACTATTTATAGTTTTATACCGACCTCCTGGTCCTTACAGCGAGTTCCTAACAGAATTCTCTGACTTCATTTCAAACCTAGTTTTTGGAATGGGAAAACATAGTTATAGCTGGAGACTTCAATATACATGTGGACGACAGCACTGACAGCTTAAACAAAGCTTTCAGCGCCGTACTAGATGGTGTTGGTTTTACTCAGAATGTCGAGGGACCTACTCACATTCATAACCACACCTTGGACCTTGTCCTGACCTACGGCTGTGATGTCTCCAATGTTGACATCCAGCGTCAAAGCTCGTTGCTGTCTGACCATTTCTTGATCACGTTTGATCTCGCTTTGGAGGACTTTCCTGTCCCGCAAGATAAAACCATAATGAAAAGAACCTTAAATGATAAATCTATCACAAGGTTCAAAGAACTAATACAGCCTATGTTGAATACTGCTGCAGGTGAACCTGTTCACAGCAGCTGCAGTCCCTCAGTCATTGACCAAACGGTGGGCAACACTATGGAGTCTTTAAAATCTGCATTAAATGCAGCAGCTCCTTTAAAACAGAAAACCATTAGGATTAGATCATCGTCGCCCTGGTACAGTGTTCAACTCCACACTTTAAAACAGGACGTCAGAAAATTGGAGAGGCTATATCGCCACTCCCACTCGGAGCCTGTCCACAGGGAGTGGAAAGCAGGTCTCCGAAACTACAAGAAGGCCCTTCGCGGGGCTCGAACTCAATACTATTCAACTTTAATAGAAGCGAATAAAAACAACAGTAGATTTTTGTTTGGTACCGTCGCTAAACTCACAAACTGCCATAGCGCAATCGAGCCTAAAATTCCAAGCTCACTGAGCAGTGTCGACTTTCTCCACTTCTTTAATAATAAAATTACATCCATCCGTGACGGGCTGGAGGAGGTTGCTCCTGCTGTTGGTGGTGGACAGGTTGAAGCGGCATACGTGACTTCCCACTTAGACTCTTCAGTGGGCCTTAATAAATTCATGGCTGTGAGCCAAGCAGAGGTGATCTCTGTGGTCACATCCTCAAAAGCCTCAACTTGCATGTTAGACGCAGTCCCGACATGGCTCTTCAAAGACATACTTCCTTTGATAATTGAGCCTATCGTAAATACAATAAACGCATCCATACAATGTGGCTATGTCCCACAAGCTTTTAAAACCGCGGTAATCAAACCCCTTCTGAAGAAAACAAACCTGGACCCAGAAATACTTACAAACTACAGACCGATCTCAAACCTCACTTTTATATCTAAAATCCTGGAAAAACTTATAGCTGAGCAGCTCCGCTGCCACCTGCAGGAAAATGATATGTTTGAAGTCTTTCAATCAGGATTCAGAGCTCATCATAGCACTGAAACGGCACTAGTCAAAGTCACAAATGACTTACTACTAGCTGCCGATAATGGACAAGTGTCAGTGCTGGTCCTACTGGACCTTAGTGCTGCATTTGACACAATAGACCACAGCATTCTACTGCAGAGGCTAGAATGTGATATAGGTCTTAGAGGAACAGCCCTTGGCTGGTTTAAATCCTATTTATCAGATCGATATCACTTCGTCAATGTGAATCAGGACTCGTCGCCTTATTCTGGAGTGGAATTCGGTGTGCCGCAGGGTTCGGTACTCGGACCGATTCTTTTTACTCTCTACATGCTGCCACTGGGAAACATTATTAAAAAGCATGGAATTAATTTCCACTGCTATGCAGATGACACACAGCTTTATCTGTCGATGAAGCCTAATCAGACAGATCAGCTAGAAAAGCTCAGTGCCTGCATAAAGGACCTTAAAATGTGGATGACTCTTAACTTCCTACTTCTCAACCCGGAGAAGACAGAAGTGATCCTACTCGGTCCGAAGCGCCTGCGTGACTCCCTCACTAACCAGATGGTTACTCTCGATAATGTCAGTATAATACCCAGTAACACTGTGAGGAATCTTGGAGTCATTTTTGACCAAGAACTCTCCTTCAAGGCTTATATAAGCCAAGCAACTAAAACGGCGTACTTCCACTTACGGAACATCGCTAAAATTAGGAATTTCCTTCCTAAAAGTGACGCGGAAAAACTCATTCACGCGTTTGTCACCTCAAGGCTCGACTACTGTAACGCTTTACTGGCAGCGTGCCCTAAAGCCTCTTTGAAGAGCTTCCAGCTCGTTCAGAATACAGCAGCTAGGATCTTAACAGGTACCAAAAGGAGGGAGCACATAACTCCGGTGTTAAAATCACTCCACTGGCTCCCTGTGGAGTACAGAATAAAGTTTAAAATCCTACTCTTAACATATAAAGCCATAAATGGCTTGGCTCCCTCTTATCTCCAAGACACGTTAGTGTCGTATCAACCAGGTCGAGCGTTGCGCTCACAAAACGCCAGACGTCTGGTGGTCCCTAAGGTCTCAAAGGTCACTGTTGGTGGCAGAGCATTTAGCTACCAAGCTCCTTTACTGTGGAATCAGCTTCCCATTTATGTTAAGGAAGCAGATACGGTCTCCACATTCAAGGCCAGGCTTAAAGCACTTTACTTTAATTTAGCATATAATTAGGTAATATATAATATGTAGTGTATATATTATATATATATGCTGTATTATGTTATATATTATGTTATATATTATTCAATAATGTATTGTGTTATGTTGTATATTATGTTATATATTATGCTGTATGTTATTCTTTATTCAAGGCTAGGTTTAAAACAGTCCTCTTTAGTTTAGCATATGGCTAGGAAGGTAAGACTCGGAGAAGGTTAAACTCCTCAGAGTGTTAGTCAAGCTGCATAGGGAGTCAGTTTGCTGGGAGAAGTATGGTAACTTGAGCACTATCCTCTCCTCCTTCCTACTTTATCTGTTTAGCATTTTTAGGATTCTGACTGTAGTTTGTTCATTGCTATTCACCCGTTGTCCCATTGTCTGTTTCATGGTACGATGACGGGATCTCTGAGCCTGGCCTCTTCCATCTACACCTGCGGACTGCCCCGCCCGACCCGCCTGGGAGTGCTTCAGTCCTGCACCGGACCTGTCCACGTTCAGCGTCCACTGGTCCACGTTCTGTAGCTAGCTTAGGTCCTGGATCATTAGTCTGTCCGTCCGGAGGAGCGGATCCCTTTCTCATATGGGTCTCCCTCCCTGTGGGTTTCCCTAGTTCTCCTCCAAGGTTTCTCACTTTTTCCCACTGGGTTTTTTAAGAGTTTTTCCTTGTCGATGCAGGAGGGTCTTGTTGGACAGTTAGTGTCCAACAGAAAGGATTGGTGATGATCAGGACACTTTAGCATTCTACAACATGTATGGACATTTTCTTCTGTGTGTGCTTTATACTGTATTCTTCATGTGTTTTAACTGTTGATTCTCTGACCTGTGTTGGTGATTTCAATGGTTTTGTTAAGTCCTCTGAGATGACTTCTGTTGTGACCTAGGGCTATACAAGAATAAATTGTATTGTATTGTATTGTAACATCCGGAAAAAAGAACATGAAAAGCTTGAGAAATACCAAGGTCTCAGAGAGGAGCTGGAGAGGGCCTGGAGGGTAAAGGTGACAGTAGTGCCCGTGGTGATCGGTGCACTCGGGGCAGTGACCCCGAAGCTAGATGAGTGGTTACAGCGGATCCCCGGAACAACCTCGGACATCTCGGTCCAGAAATGTGCAGTGCTAGGAACAGCAAAGATACTGCGCAGAACCCTCAAGCTCCCAGGCCTCTGGTAGAGGACCCGAGCTTAGAGAGGGATAACCGCCCGCAAAGGGCCAAAGGTGAGTGGACAATTTTTTTTTTTATACCACGTATTGTGATTTCTAGCTCGTAGTGAAAAAAAATATTTATTTGAATATCTCGCAAAAAGTAAAATGAACTGAACTTTGAACTAGTTCAGAATTAAAATTGAGAACTTCGAACGTGAACTGTTCACTTTGAGCATGTATGAACTGAACTTGAACTTGTTCAGAAAAGCTGTGAACTGGCACAACACTGGCCAAAGCTTTACTGTCATTGGGCCAGAGCAAAATTAAACAAATGTGACGTCACACGTCGGCTACACAGCCAGGCCAGCGGCCAGCCTAGCAGTGCACCCAGTGTAGCTTCCCCGGTTGAAATGAGTGGTCTCTCCAACTGACGGTTCATACACGTTGTTATTTTTCCTTTTATATGAGCTGTAACGATGTGATTTTACCTTACTACTTTTTTAACAATAATTGATTAGCTTGTTATAGTTATACACTAATGAACACTTAGTTCATTGTGTGTGTGTGTGTGTGTCTTTATTCTCACTAAACTCCATAAACGTTACGTTGCTAAGCAACGTACAACAATCTTTAAACGTCCGAGATTATATAAACAGTCAATATAAAAAGAAATAAAGAAAACAAAAGTTTTGACAGTCAATCTTAAAACTATTAAAAGAACATCAAAATACAATGACAAAAACCCAAATTTAGAACCTTGTTTGGCCTGAATGGATGAAAAGCTCCCGGCCTGAAATGTTGTCCCACTCCGGCCCTGGACAGAACTGTGAGCAAGAGACAGACGTTCTGGAAATCAGTGTTGCGAGGGTCACCGATATTAGATCAGCATGGGGGCCATGCACATCTCTCTATTTAGAAAAGGTGAAATGAGGCACTTTGACAGCCCTGAACATCAAGGGAGGGAACCCGCACAGCTCAGTCACATCCCGTGTGACACACAATGAATAGAATGACTTCTTTCAGATGAGCCCCTTTCATTATTTGTTTTAGACATGCGCTCAAATTGTGAATAATTAGCAAAGCCTGAAATTATTGAAGTTTTTTGCAGACAAAAATGAAAATTGTGCATGAGGTAATTATGTGCTTTTTCAAAATCGGCCATTGATTGATTCTTACCTTTATTTTCTGCTGGATGTGTCTCAGGGAGTCTGCAGTGCCCATGTCTCCATCTTCTTGGATACAAACCACATCAAGTTTTATTCTGATCTCCTTTATTTTAGGGTCTGTGCTCATCATCTTCTGGACTTCTTTGGTGGTTATAACTATTACCTCTGAAAACATAGGATACAATTGTCACATATACACACAAACACACACACACACAAAAGAACTTAATAAAGCCAGTTCTACCGCAATTAGGAAAAACATTTACAGTATTACAACAAATCTTTGTGCTTCTAAACATTGAAGGGTCTGCTGGGTTTAATGGGCTTTGTCTGCATAAATTGAGTTCTACTGGGCATTTGTGTGCTATGACTCTGTCTGCCTAGTAAAACCAAATTGCAGGGCTTTGGCTAGTTGGCAGCACACCATAAAAATCTGGCCACACAGGATGATTATGTATAGCAAGGTAGTTTTATTTAGGGTAGTCGGGACACACAGGCTCTCATAATAACAACCCTGTTTACTAGCAGAAATAGCACACAGCAACAAATCCCTTTATATGACCACAGATCCTGGACCTCGGCTCGTTGTACCAAAAAAGGCAGAAATGTGGGTGGTAAATTCAAGCAGGAAATGCACACCTGACATTGGGTACGATGTGATGACAAGTTGGTTGAAATAAGATTATTATGATTAAGACTGATTCATTTCAGGGTAAGTTTGAAGTTGCATATAAATGTTTTGATCTGTGGAACTTCTATTAAAATACAATATGGTCAAGAACACACAGCAATTTCAAATTCAAATGTTACATAATTAGGTAATGCACGTGCTTCAAGCAGTGTAACAACAGCTATGTAAAACAGTAATTTAGAGTTATGACATGCTGTGTAAGAGCAAAAAATACAAATGATCATTTATTTTACTATATGATCACTAATGTTAATTTCCAGTGAGTGATTTATAGAGAAATGTATCTGTTTCTGATAGTCCACCTTCATTGTCATATTTCATTATTGTGACCTATTTAATTATACTTAACACGTAGCTAGATCCTCTTGACGCCTCGAATGTCGTTTTGGCAAGTGTACATCTGAATGTATGTTACACTGAGTGTAAAAGTAATGCAATACCTTCAAATCCAACTCTTTCCAGTAGATTCAGAGGATACCAGATAACGGGCTTGTTGCCAACAGGTAACATTGGCTTGGGGGTGTTGTAAGTCAGATCAGTCATGCGAGAGCCCCCTCCAGCTGCCATCAGCACAGCCTGCAGCTCCATAGTACCTGCTGAAAAAAAATCAAATATGAATTCTTCCATGTCTTAACATATGCCTAATCTATACTGTAAGACATTTAACTCTTGAGCGACTTCTTTAACGGAAATATTGTAACTGAAAATATGACTGAATGAATTAAGGATGTTTGGACTACACAACCACTGATTAAACTTCACAGTATTTCCTTTGTCGCAGTCAAAGCGCAATATTACTAAGATTATAATAAAGGTTTACCTGTCAGCTCTCCTCGATGCCAGTAAGATGACTGTCAGTGCTGACAGCGGATGAAGCGCATGGAGAGGAGCTGCTGCTGTCACTGTTGTTAGCACAGCGCTAGCATTAGCATCAGCGCTATTACACACCACTTTCTTACTCGAGACTAAGTCTAAAAGCACAAAGGTCAGTATATGGTCAAATTAAATTCCGATTCCAGAAAGCATAACTAAAAACAATGCATCTACTCCTAAACACTTAAGATACAGCAGCTAAGTTTAACTAGCATAGATCTCTAGTGGTGGATGATGACATCTGAGTGCCTTCGTGAAATGGGTCCGTAAGAAAACTACATACTTTGATAGGAGGTTCCGCGTGGGGAAAGAGCACAGCTGAGAGCACGTGAACGCTGCCAAACAACACCTCAACACCTCAAAAGGTTTGTTTACATGTATATGTGCATTTAAGTGCTTAGCTATGTTTGTAAAAAAAAATAGATGATAAACTTAGTACTATTAAAATAGTGTTCTAAATGAATGCGGTAAAAGGTGGTCACAGTCCAGACCCCACACCGCCTGTGAGGTGGGATATGATTTAGAGCTACAGATTTGTGGTGTGTTATTATGTTCGGCTGAACCCCTGAAAAATGGGAGCAAAAACAAAAGCACTGCGTTTTATTGTCTGTCCAGTGTAGTAATATAGTAGTATACAATATGCCTATAAAAAAAATCTAGAAATAGTGGGATGAAGGGCGAGCGCTCAGTTGGTAGAGCATTGGCCTGTGAGCCTGGAGGTCGTGGGTTCAAGTCGATATTATAAGAGATCCATGATTCAAACCCACCACGAAACCTTCTCCACCCACTCCTACTGATGTCTGCTGCCGTTGTGTCCTTGGGCAAGACACTTTACCCTACTTTCCCTGAAGCCCCCGCTGAAAGACCAAGCCTATGCTGTAGAGCAGCCATCCTCCTGTGGACTCACCACCTGCAGGAGGATCAGTGAAGGGCTGGTGCCCCACCCACCTTGAAAATGGATGGATGGATAGTAGTATGAAATAAGCAACTGCACATATACAGTGTAGATGTTTATTATTATTTATTTGGGTAATTCAATCTGTTTTCTGACCTAATATTTCTTATTATCATGTTTTGTGTCAAATATGTAAAAGAAATGCTGTCACACCTCCCGGCTTAGTATTTCCGTGCCTTTCCCCAATAGATTAATCATATTTACTATGTCTGTAAATAATAGCTATGTCATTAAATCCTAAAGAATAGGGAGCACAGACAACTGTATTATTCCTTCTGCTTCTTTGTGAGAATGCGAAATAATTACCTGGGTTGTCTGGCAAAACTGTTATGGTGAGTTTCTGTGATTTGTGTATTATGAGCAGAAACATAATCTTATATTAATTAGGGATAAATAAAATGTATTTTTGAATATTGAATATTATGAAATCATCCAAGAGTGTAATAGCTCCTTTGAGCTCTAACTACATAAGTAATCTTTGCACTACATGCATACACACACACACACACACACACACACACACACACACACACACACACACACACACACACACACACACACACACACACACACACACACACACACACACACACACACACACAAAACATGGTGTGAACAGATTAGCAGCCACCCAGATTCTCTTCCATTCTTTAGGCATGAAAACTCCCAATTCACAGAGCTGAGACGTAACAGCAAATTGAGCTCGGGGAATGTGGCTTTGGTTTTGTTTGCTCTGGCCAGGAGATGAGCTTGACTGCTCGTTGCTGCTCACTGGAAACCATAGGGAGGAAGCATAGAGCAGTAGAGAAATAGACAAACAAGTCTTTCTTTAGTAGCTACGATAGAATCAACCTGCAAAACCGAGGATTATGATTTATTTTTGTTCATACGGTGTACAATAAAAGTTATTTTTCTATAGGCTCTTCCCTATTGTTCTCATATCATATTGTATGAATAAATGTTATGTTGTGTTCATAATTATTGGCTCTATGAACAACAGTGACATCTATAATACATTGACATTCTTCAAGTCTATGGCCAATTTTCTATTTAATTCAAATTGACGTGACAAACCAGTTTGTGTAAATTGAGGTTTTCTAGTTGAGACTAGCTTTTGGTAACTTTAGTAATCGTGTAATCTACCTTTCAATACCTCCTTAAATTCCTATCACATATATGACTCATATTCCATGCAATGTAGTTTCACATTGTTTTAAGTAATATTTGTGCGACCATTAAATGGCATGAGCTAATGAGTGTAATCAACAATCTTGGCATCCCTGAACTAGAGGTTGACATATTTGGCAACGTTCATAAGAGTTTTTAATCATGGTTTGTACAATGGTCTTTTTTTTTTTAATTTTTTTTTTAATTTTTTTTTTTGATTGAATCTTCTTTTTATTTACAAGATAAAATAACGAGACAAACTTCAAAACCCCCCACCCAAACCCAAACCCAGCCACCCCCCTTGCATTCATACCACAATCACAACCACAATCATCCACACATTCTCAGTATTTGAACACAGACTATAGACAAAAAAGAAGCACAAAGCAAAAGAAAATAATAACATAGAAAATGAGAAATAAAATAAAATCACTAATACCAATCAAAATCCATAAACAAAATACAATATAATTAGTAAAACATTTACGACATAACAAATGGCATAGCAAGTACACCTAATATTTATATCTCTAACTCAGGTAAGCAGACATTCCATTTCTTTTCATGCTCAATTATTCTGTTGTTATTTGTTGCTATAATTGTTTCTAACATATACTGATGATAAACTCTATACTTAAAATGTTTTATACATACATTTGATACATTTTTAGCTTTAAAAATAAACATTTTACCCATCAGAATAATCATATTCAAAAGGTATGTGCATTTACCCTCAAAAATACATAACACAATATTCTGAGGTGTAATTTGCAAAGCAATACCCATAGACCTTAACCATAACTGTACACTGACCCAAAACTTAGCCACATGTGGACAAAAATAAAACAAATGCATCAGGTCCTCCTCCTCATCCCCACAAAACCTGCAACAGGGATCCTTTTCTATCTGCCATTTGACCAGAGATTTTTTTGTTGCAATAATTTTATAAAAGATTTTAAGTTGAAATATCCTGGAATATGAATCTATTGTAGTTCTATAAATTGTTCTAAAGTAATCTTTCCACAAAATTGGATCATTGAATTCATCTTCCCAAAACAGGCAGATTCTGTGTGGGAAAAGTGCGGTGCCTGTGATATTTACATTCCACATATATATTATTTTATTTATTTTGGCACCAGACAGCCATTTTGGGCATCTTATTATTGGGAGACAAACCATCAACTTATTCTTCCTACAATTTTGCAATTTTCTTTTCCAAGTTTTAGGAATTGCAGAAATCAGCTGGTTGTATTGTAGCTCATCGAGAGAAATGTTAAAAGATCTTTTCAAATTTTCATAAGAAATCAAATCTCCAGATAAATCTAAAAGGTCATTGACAAAAATTAACCCATTTTTAACACATTCCTCCCACAACAATGGTTTGTCTCCAACAGTAATGTTTGAATTCATCCATAGCAACTGTGTCTGAATATCTTGAGCTGTATCTGGAGGATGATACTGGAAATTCAACCAAGCTTTTAATGCATCCTTGAAGAATGGTGATAACTCTTTTAAACTATTTTGAAATAGTTTATCAATATGTATTGTTTTTAATTGGTAAAAAGGAAATATATTGTTCGAGAAGAAGGAAAAGGCTGAATATAATCTCTGGGTCGTAATCCACTTTTCATTATGATACATTTTAGCAACCCAGGAGGCCTTCAAGGAACAGTCCATCATTTGAAGATTTTTTAAATTCAGTCCGCCATTATCATAGGAATTATATAGATACTGCCTTTTAATTTTATCTGGTTTATTATTCCATATGAATTTGAAAATTTTCTGTTCAAAGTGCTTGAAGAACTTAATGCTAGGTGAAGGAAGAAGCATTAATAGGTGGACAAATTGTGGGATTACTAATGTATTAATCAACGTTACTTTCCCTTGAATTGTCAGAAAGTTCCCCCTCCAAGGTTGTAACATTTTATCTACCTTTTCCATTCTTCTCTCATAATTGTATTTAACAACTTCTTTAAAGTCATCAGGTAGATGAATCCCCAAAGTATCAACTCCTCCATTAGTCCATTTAACAGGAGCAGAACAGTTTAAAATGAAATTAGTGTCTTTTAACATCCCAATTCTCAAAATACTACATTTAGTAAAATTAGGTTTCAATCCAGATATTTTTGAAAACTTATTTAATTCCTTTATTAGTCCTTCCAAAGTGGATTGTATTGGTTTTATAAAAAAGGTTGCATCATCAGCATACATTATCAGTTTAATCTCTTGGCCGTTTGGAAATAGACCTGGTATATCTGGATTGTTCCTAATTTTAATAGCTAGAATTTCAATACATAAAATAAAGAGATATGGTGACAAAGGACACCCTTGACGGACTCCTTGTGTTAATGAAAATGTATCTGATATATGACCATTATTAATCACTCTACTAATCGGATGATTATAAAGCGTTTCAAACCACTGGATTAAGTTTTTTCCAAAATTAAAAAAAACAAGACATTGTCTTATGAACTTCCATTGAACTTTGTCAAATGCCTTTTCAAAATCAGCAATAAACAATAATCCTGGTTCCTGATGTTTCTCATAAAAATATATCGTGTCAAGTATTTGTCTCAAGTTGTCTCCAATAAATCTTCCCTTAATAAAACCTGCTTGATCGTTATTTATAATACTTCCAATTATGTTTTTTATTCTTAAAGCAATACATTTAGATAAAATACGAGTATCACAACAGAGCAGGGTCAATGGACGCCAATTTTTTAACAATTTGGGATCTTTATATTTCCCATCAGGATTTTGTTTTAAGAGTATTGAGATAACTCCCTCTCTTTGTGAATTGGATAAAATACCCTGTTGAAATGAAAAATTGAAAGATGCTAATAGGGGTTTTTTAATTTCTGTAAAAAAAATCTTATACATCTCAGTAGGAATACCGTCGATACCAGGAGATTTACCAGATGAAAACGAATTAATTGCCTCTAGTAACTCCTGTTCTGTTATTTCTCCTTCACAGCTTAATTGCTGGGAAGTAGAAAGCACAGAGACATTATTTAAAGGAAAATATTGCTTTGTCACATCACTAAGGGGCTCCAGTATTGCATCATTGCAATATAGAGCTTTAAAATATTCAAATTCTTCCTGTAATATTTCTTGTGAATTTGTGACTAAGACATTATCTCTATATAAACTCATGATATTCTTTTTAACAGAATTTCTTTGGTTTAACCGTAAAAAATGTGACGTACACTTCTCTCCCTTCTCCATCCAAGCAGCATGTGACCTAAAAATAACTCTGTTTGCCCGTTCATGATAAAGACTCTCCAATTGACCTTGTTTTCTTTTAATTAATATTTCTGTTTCAGTTGTGTAACATCTATCTAATAATTTTTGTAACTCATTTATTTCCTCAATAAGTTCTTGTTCTTGTTTCAGGTTTCTTTTTTTCTTAATTGCTCCCATCTTAATCGCATGTCCTCTAAAGCAGTGTCTCCCAAAGTGGGGTCCGCGGCCCCCTGGTGGGCCGCGAGGGTACTGCAGGGGGGCCGCGGGAGGTCATAAAAAAAAAAAAAAATATATATATATATATATAATTATTTAATGTTAAATTTATAATGTTTTGTTTGTAATATTAAAATATTTGTGTTCATTATTTGACTTGAATAATCCACTGTAATCATTTTTGTATTACAATGTTTGTAGCAGAGGCTATTTCCCCAAAATAAAATAACCAGAAGAGCCTATTCTTAATGTTGTCTTCTTGGTTATTATTTTGGGGGGGCCACGCAGACCCGTCAGATTTTTAAGGGGGCCTCGGTGTTACTGAGTTTGGGAATGGCTGCTCTAAAGGAACATTTAAAGGCTTCCCAAACATTATGTGGATTAGAGGAGTTTTCATTATGTTCAAAAAATTCCTTAATAAATCTCCTGGTAATATCGAGGAACAAATTATCATTTAGAAGCGATACATTGAATTTCCAGTAACCCCGTCCTCTGGAACATTGCGGATTGTCAATCAGCAATGTAACCAGACTATGGTCAGATCTCAAGCAGTCACCAATACAACAGTTTAATACTCTAGGAACCAATGAGAAGGGAATGAGAAAATAATCAATTCTACTAGCCTGCTTTCCTCTGCGCCATGTATACCTAGTATCTTTATTTAACAAACGCCAGATATCAACAAGATCTAATGCTGCAGCCATTTCTTTAATTTCCCTAAGTGCATGGGGATGATTATTAAATTTATGTAGACCACTTCGATCCTTATTTATATCCAAGACTGTATTGAAATCCCCAGTTATTATAATTTGATTAGATTGTAGTGAGCTTAAATATGTATTAATTTCACCAAAAAATAATGGATTGTCCTCATTAGGAGCATAAATATTTGTTAAAATAATATGCAAGTTATTTATCATTATATCTATTACAATCCATCTACCTTCCTTATCTTTAGATACGGAGTGTAGTGTATAATCTACATTACATTTAATCAAAATCATAACACCTCTACTGTTTTTTAAACCATGACTAAAATATATATCCCCTCCCCATTCAGATCTCCATTTTAGCTCATTTTCTGAGTTAGAGTGAGTTTCCTGCATACAAGCAATTTGAATGTCACTTTTATCATTTAACCAAGTAAAAATTTCATTCCTTTTAGAGGTATTTGCTAAACCATTACAATTAAATGAAGAAATTCCAATAGACTTTTTTTTTATATTATCCATTTAACTAGTGAAATCTTTATAAATATAATGTAGTGCCCCAACAAAACAAATTCTTTCCACACATACCCACAAACCACACACACATACTCGCCCCACACATACCAACGCACATCACCAACCAGAAAACACCCCAGCCAAGTACAACCCCGTCCTCTCTCTAAAACTACAGTCTTCCATTGGCCTTTACTCTTCCCTAGAGTAGAGGGTAAGTATGCCCTCCCCATACCTTGATCCCAACATTGTACAATGGTCTTTAATCAATACAAGGTACAGTACAGCTCCCCCCTTGGACTGCCACCTTAACGTGGTGGGGGAGTTTGAGCACTCGGATGATCCTGGGAGCTATGCTGTCTGGGGCTTCATGCCCCTGGTAGGGTCTCCCATGGCAGACAGGTCTCAAGTGACGAGTCAGACGAAGCGCAGTCCGAAGCCAACCATGGACAGCACGACAACAAAAACCGTGACGTCGCCCGGCATGGCGCAGCCGGGGCCCCACCCTGGAGCCAGGCCTGGGGTCGGGGCTCGCAAGCGAGCGCCTGGTGGCCGGGCCTTAGCCCACGGGGCCCGGCCGGGCTCAGCCCGAAGGGATGACGTGGGCAGTCCCTCCTGTGGGCTCACCACCTGCAGAGGGGTCCGTGGTGGCGAGGTGCAGAGAGGACTGGGCAGCAGTCGAAGGCGGAGACCTCGACGACCCAGTCCACACACCCAACATCTGGCTCTTGGGACGTGGAACGTCACCTCACTGGGGGGGAAGGAGCCCGAGCTTGTGGGGGAGGTTGAGCGATACCGACTAGAGATAGTCGGCCTCACCTCCACACACAGCTTGGGCTCTGGAACCCAACTCCTTGAGAGGGGTTGGACGCTCCACTTTTCTGGTGTTTCCCGCGGGGAGAGGCGGCGAGCTGGGGTGGCCATACTCATTGCCCCCCATCTCAGCCGCCACGTGTTGGAGTTCTCCCCGGTGAATGAGAGGGTCGCGTCCCTCCGCCTCCGGGTGGGGGACAAGTCTCTCACTGTTGTGACGGCCTACGGGCCTAACGGTAGTGCAGAGTACCCGGCCTTCTTGGAGTCCTTGGGAGGGGTACTGGACAGTGCACCGCCCGGGGACTCCGTTATTCTCCTGGGGGACTTCAACGCCCATGTGGGAAATGCCAGTGACACTTGGAGAGGGGTGATCGGGAAGAGCGGCCCCCCTGATCTGAACCCGAGCGGTGTTCAGTTGTTGGACTTCTGTGCCAGTCACGGCCTGTCCATCACGAACACCATGTTCGAGCACAAGGGTGTCCATCAGTGCACGTGGCACCAGGACACCCTAGGCCGGAGGTCGATGATCGACTTTGTAGTCGTATCATCTGACCTTCGACCGCGTGTCTCGGACACTCGGGTGAAGAGAGGGGCGGAGCTGTCAACCGATCATCACCTGGTCGTGAGTTGGATCCGCTGGCAGGGCAGGAGGCCGGTCAGACCTGGCAGGCCCAAGCGTGTAGTGAGGGTTTGCTGGGAACGTCTCGCTGAGCCCCCTGTCAGACGGACTTTCAACTCACACCTCCGGGAGAGCTTCTCCCAGGTCCCGGCAGAGGAGGGGGACATCGAGTCCGAGTGGACCATGTTCTCTTCCTCTATCGCCAATGCGGCGGCTCGTAGCTGTGGTCGCAAGGTCTCTGGTGCTGGTCCCGGCGGCAATCCCCGAACCCGGTGGTGGACACCGGCAGTAAGGGATGCCGTCAGGCTGAAGAAGGAGTCCTATCGAGCAATGATGGTTCGTGGGACTCCTGAGGCAGCTGTCCAGTACCGGCAGGCCAAACGTGCCGCGGCCCGGGCTGTTGCAGAGGCAAAAACCCGGGACTGGGAGGAGTTCGGAGAGTCCATGGAGCATGACTATCGGTCGGCCTCGAAGAGGTTCTGGCAAACCGTCCGGCGCCTCAGGAGGGGGAAGCAGTTCTTTGCCAACACCGTGTATGGTGCGGGTGGAGGGCTGCTGACCTCGACTGGGGATATTGTCGGGCGGTGGAAGGAATACTTCGAGGTTCTCCTCAATCCCCCCGTCACGTCCCCCGTCCAGGAGGCAGAGGCTGAGGATGTTGGGGCGGATACTTCCATCTCCCTGGCCGAGGTCACCAAGGTGGTTGGCAGCCTCCATGGTGGCAAGGCGCCGGGAGTGGATGAGATCCGTCCTGACTATCTAAAGTCTCTGGATGTTGTAGGACTGTCTTGGCTGACACGTCTCTGCAACATCGCGTGGCGATCGGGGGCGGTGCCAATGGAGTGGCAGACCGGGGTGGTGGTCCCTCTCTACAAGAAGGGGGACCGGAGGGTGTGTTCCAATTATCGTGGGATCACACTCCTCAGCCTCCCCGGTAAGGTCTACTCCAAGGTACTGGAGAGGAGGCTTCGTCCGATGGTCGAATCTCGGATTCAGGAGGAGCAGTGTGGTTTTCGTCCCGGTCGCGGAACACTGGACCAGCTCTATACTCTCCATCGGATACTCGAGGGTTCATGGGAGTTCGCCCAACCTGTCCACATGTGCTTTGTGGATTTGGAGAAGGCGTTCGACCGCGTTCCCCGGGGTGTCCTTTGGGGGGTCCTCCGGGAGTACGGGGTCCGGGGTCCTCTGCTGAGGGCTGTTCGGTCCCTGTATGACCGGAGCCAGAGCTGTGTTCGCATTGCTGGCAGTAAGTCAGACCTGTTCCCGGTGCATGTTGGCCTCCGCCAAGGCTGCCCTTTGTCACCGGTTCTGTTCACTGTATTTATGGACAGAATCTCTAGGCGCAGCCAGGGGCCGGAGGGGGTCCGGTTCGGGAACCACAGGATTTCATCTCTACTTTTTGCGGATGATGTCGTCCTGCTGGCTCCAACGAACCAGGACCTGCAACATGCACTGGGACGGTTTGCAGCCGAGTGTGAAGCGGCTGGGATGAGAATCAGCACCTCCAAATCCGAGGCCATGGTGCTTGACCGGAAAAAGGTGCCTTGCCCTCTCCAGGTGGGTGGAGAGGTCCTTCCTCAAGTGGAGGAGTTCAAGTATCTCGGGGTCTTGTTCACGAGTGAGGGGAGGATGGAGCGTGAGATTGACAGGCGGATCGGTGCAGCGTGCGCAGTGATGCGGTCTCTGTATCGGACCGTTGTGGTAAAGAGGGAGCTGAGCCGAAAGGCAAAGCTCTCAATTTACCGGTCAATCTTCGTTCCCTCCCTCACCTATGGTCATGAGCTGTGGGTAATGACCGAAAGAACGAGATTGCGGATACAAGCGGTCGAAATGAGCTTCCTCCGCAGAGTGGCTGGGCGCTCCCTTAGAGATAGGGTGAGGAGCTCGGTCACACGGGAGGAGCTCGGAGTAGAGCCGCTGCTTCTCCACGTCGAGAGGAACCAGTTGAGGTGGCTCGGGCATCTGTTCCGGATGCCTCCTGGACGCCTCCCTGGGGAGGTGTTCCGGGCACGTCCCACCGGGAGGAGGCCCCGGGGAAGACCCAGGACACGCTGGAGAGACTATGTCTCTCAGCTGGCCTGGGAACGCCTAGGGGTCCCCCCGGACGAGCTTGAGGAGGTGTGTGTGGATAGGGAAGTCTGGGCGTCTCTGCTTAGACTGCTGCCCCCGCGACCCGGCAACGGATAAAGCGGAAGAAAATGGATGGATGGATGGAGGTACAGTACAGTCCGTTGACCTTATATTTGTAGCACAAAAGAAGCTTTTCTTCTGTTTTTTACACAACTACAACTAGTTTACACGGCTTTTTCAGTGTGCAGGTGGTAGCCCATCATAAAATAGGATTCTGGCAAGTAAAACCCTTTCACTCAATATACCTCCTGCTTTTCTGACATTGAAACACATGTGTCTGGTATGAGTTATAGGGATTTTTTATAGGGGTTTTTATTCTGTAATTGCTGAAGACAATTTGTTGATACGCTGTGTGCATAACGATCTGTGATTCAGTCTGATACTTGGCAGAATAGGCGGTGCCGATATCGATGCCAGTCTGATACCACATTTATTAGAATGACTTTTTGGCATATGAATATTAGTTTTACACCAAGTTTGTCATGTGCTTATTTTGTAGGTCAAATGATAAAATTAATAAATAATTGATGATAAGAATAGATGGCGCAATAGAGCAGAGTTCTACAGCTGGGTTTGACACAATTTACAGCAAACACATTTATGATTCACTCAGCTAGATTATCAAATATTCACTCATTTTGTCCCAGTCTGTTGGTCTCCTGGCAACATCCCAAGCGATTTGTCATTAATCACAATGATAATATGATTAATTAGCAATATAGTGAGACTAGGATATGATTTGTGAAATCAAATCTTACCTTAAATCTTACCTTAAATGTGTTAAATGTCAAATGACTAATTCATCCTCGCTGTGTGAAGGAGCAGTTCCGTAGGTCTTTCCTTCCTGCTGCTGTCAGACTGTACAATAAGAACTGCTGAGCCTGTAAATGTCATTCGTCTGTAAATAAGTAAATACTAAAATCATGTGCAATGTGCAATGCTGCAACTTCAGAATTTCCACTGAACGATGTCACTTTACTTTGTCTACTTATTATCCTTCCCTATACGTACAGTGTAATATATACACACTACATATAGTATATATGTATTTTTTTTACATATATATTTTTTTTAACTGGTATTGAAGCATTTACAGCATTTACAGCTAGTTAAGAAACATAGCTACTACTATTTTTATATATTTTGTGTGCTCTCTGTGTGTTACTACTGTCCTGTATGTGCGCTGCAACATAGAAATTTCCCCACTATGTTACGAATAAAGGATCTCTTGTCTTAGTTCAAACTGTTATACGCAAAGTACATAAATGTCTACCACATACAACAGGGACTTCAATTTCCCAGTATTAGAAAAAAAATTGTAGAACCTCAAACCATTCCAGATTTAGTCCAGTCTTTGGCACGGGTTTACCTGTTTTATCCCCTTTGCAAATATTCAGATCAAACTAACATTTATTTTACATAATTAATCCATATTTGGACCTTCTTATGATTCACGCTGGACTCGAGAAGCAGACCGCCCCGACTCTGACTGTGCAGGCTCTAGTCGCAGAGTTGACTTCAAATGGAGCCCCATGGTTTTGTCTGATTTTCTCCTT